TGTAATAAATCCTGCTTGATTGATATTAGCATGTTGTACCATTTACTGTTAATTTTCTTGTTTAAATCTGCAGCTTCTTTAAAAAGGGTATTATTTGTATTCATTATGCAATTGTAATATTTGATCATTTGTCTCTTGATGGATATATCTAATGGGTATCTGCAAAGTTCTCCCTAGATGCCCATTTTGGAATATTTTTTAAGACAAGTAAAAACCGACAGTAGGTGTACATACTCGATGTCAGATTTGTAATTACTTTCATCTCCCCAGATATCACTGCCATAAACTAATATTGGTCAGATCAGTTTATTGAATAGTGATATAAAAAATGTAGTTATTTTTAACTTTGTTTCTAATTTGTTTCTTTGTCAATAACTGAGAACATGGCTTTTTGGCCCTTTTGTTTTAAGTTAATCATTGTTTCTTTGGACTTTCCGTTGGGGCTGATGCAGATCAGTACAATCCCAAGGTAATTAAAAAATTACTTTGATTAATTTCTTGTCCTTCAAAAAAAAAAATAGGGTATTGTTTTAAACTATTAGTCTATTTCATTTATTGAATACCATAATTTTATAATAACAATAACCATAATAGTACTGATCGATTTATTTGGATTGCCAGCGTTCAGTGCGTGCACGCCTGTGCACTCATGAACACCTGAACCTTTGCGTGCACGGACGGAGTTAGCCCTAAGTACAATCCTGGGCACGGATCTAGAAGCCGTACCTACACACGAATTGGTGACGTCACAAAATTCATGACCTTCAATCGGGGTCGTTTCCTCGGTATATACGAATTGGTATATACAAATTACAATAAAGATACTTAAGACATTACACATAAGGTAAAACAAATCATGTGACAATATAATGATAATAACGGTAATAAATCCTAGCTTTACAGTTGAACAGAACGATCATATAGTCAGTCGGGTGACGCTGAGGGTCACGCTCTTGTTGCAAAATGGCCGTGTGGTTGAAACTGGGTCACGGCGTGATGGGCGAGGAAGACATCATTAAACACTCTCAAAATCACAATAAAACGAGGAAGTGGTTGCATATTACGACGTAGCCAACATGGGAAATAAAAAAACGCCCAATACAAACGACATGGGTTCGAATCACACTAGATACACACTCACCAGAACCAAAGCAATCAGAAACGAGCAATCGTTTTGGCTTTTTCGTTCAACTCATCGGAACACTGGAGTAGTTAGAAAAATGAACACCACTTAATGACCAACGTCGTGGCGTGGTACACAAGCGTGCCATCAAAATAAAACAAAATTAGCTTGAAAAGACAGTGGGTTCGAGTCCCGCTCAGAGCTACCGTAAAAACGTAAATCAAATAAACTGAAATCTCTCAAACCATAAACAAGTAAGCAAAGAACGTCGCGAAAAAATAATAAACCTTACAAAACTCCACCATACAAAACTGAATGAATAAATAATAAAATAACTTGCGTCTTAAAATGGACGACGAGCAATTTGTTCAACAGTTTCCACAAGAGATAACCAAGTCAAGGTAAGTTTTGTTAAAGTGTCGATGGCGTTCCCTATATTACGAAAACAATTCAGGCAACAGACGAATATCTTCTGTGGTGTTGTGGAATTTATACTGTGTCTGCGGAATTGTTGATTGAGGGTTCGAAGCCAGCAGTTAACATTTTGTTAGAAAGTTTCACAATTAAATCAAATATCCAATGATACCAGTATATTTATTTCATTATTTTAACAACTTGCAATGGTGGAAGTTGGTCAAACACGAGTTCTTACACCTAAATAAGTATCAAATATTTGTCGACACATTTATTCTCGCAATTTAACAACCTTGTAACGGAATTATTAACAGGAACGTGTCTTGGCATTAGGGCTAGGGTCGGGTCAGGTATGGGCAACGCAAATGGCAAACACCCAATTGGCAAGATGTACACTAACGGGTTATGGCATGCATATAGTTTACACAAGTAAAAACACAAAATTGGCAATTTTTTGGACAATTGTAACTCAATAATAGAAATATGTTGTATTTCTATATATATATACACACTATATAGTCTTATCAAATGCAAACACATCCAGTCAATCAATTGTGGTCTTGTGGTTCAGTTGTCTACACAGTGATCAGGGGGACCCGGGTTCAATTCCCATGCCTGCTAGTCTTTTTTCGCAAACACTAATTTGCAATAAAGCTAAATATGAAAACAAATCATTCATTTGCATGCATGTATGACTTCCCATATGGTTCAGTGGATATGTACAATGTAGGCAATGTGAGAGATAGCTGGTTCGAATCCAGTACAGTTAGTACGATTTTTGAATGCTAGTGAAAACATTGATCCTATGAGTAGGACTTAAATCGTAATACAGTGGACAAGACAGTGAGCTGGGAACTCAAAGATTGCAAGTTTGAATCGCGGACAGGACACTCCTACAAGACAAGATATGAAAGAGAAAACAAACATTAACAGCAACTTCTGTATATCAAGAACTCAAGTCAGAAAAACAGAACGCAAGAAACTACGTCACATGGAAGCCAGTCGAAGTACGAACACAGTTGACAGCTGCAGGTCACGTGCAACAACAGAGACGAGGATCAATGCTGCTCTCCAAATGGGTCCCTTCTTTTGTATTGACCCCCTATGGATTGCTCGTCCCCCTTTCTAACTCTTCCCCCAAAAATAATATATCGCCCCTTTTAGAATGTATTGATTCCATAAGGAAATATTAGAGAAATTGAAATTAATTAGGAGAAATGAAATAAACAGCAATAATGATGATAATAATAATATCAGACAAATTCACACAATTACAATAAACCAAGATGATGTCAGAAATGCGATAAAATTTTGCAAATCTGGAAAAGCGTGTGGCCCAGATGACATAGTCAATGAATTTATCATGAATGGTGGTGAATCGCTTGTTCAGTCTTTGACAATTCTATTTCAATCATGTTTGAATAATAAGAAAATCCCAGACGAATGGAAACAAGGAGTTGTAAAACCAATCCATAAAAAAGGTGATAAAAAAGATCTAAATAATTATAGAGGCATTACTCTGAACTCAACAGTATCAAAAGTTTATGCTAAAATAATTGAAACTAAATTAAAACAATTTGTGGAAGATAATAACATATTAGGTGAGATTCAGGGTGGATTTAGAAAGGACAGACGCTGTGAAGACAATATCTTTACACTCAAAGGTATTGTG